TTCTAGGTGACTCTTTGATTTCAAGAAGATGAAGTTGTGCAATTTGGGTCTTCTCTTCGGTTACTTTAGACTTATCAGACACAAATATACTTCTAGACTAATACCCAGGAAGATAAAACTATGCGATTTGGGTCTTTTATTTTAGAACAACAATAAAGGAAACTTGAATTTGGGTCTGAATTATTTACTGAAATTTTGAGATTCTCTGAAAAATACTGATAGAATTGTTGTGAAAAAGTATACATGAGAGAATGTGAAAGAAAGACCGAGAAGTTGATATAACATTTAATAAATTATCCTTCCTTAATAAATTATTTACAGATTTGCTCAACTTTGAACCTTCGCCATTTGCGACGCATAAATGTAAATTAATAGAAAGCATTAAAAATTATATAACAATAATAGTAATGCACCAAAACTCATTGCAACAATATATTAAAGGACAATCAAGAAATATTTAACAATCTAGATATGAGAGAAGCACAAAGAAATTGACGAAGAACTTACCTGGAACTGAAAGAATCAGAAGAGTAAACAAACTTTAAACAACAGTATGAAGATGAACTGTCTGGGAGAGGAAAATATGAATTGTTATTAAAAGGTATTAGTGAAAATTTCTAGACATAAGATATTTAGTAATTGTGTTTGATATTAGCCACGTGAAGGGAATTAAATGGACAAATAATATAATATTTTATACATAAAAAAATTAAAGGATAAGGGTTTGAAAAATACCCCAACTTTGGTCGAATTTGTTGTGGCGATACTAAACTTTCACAAGGACCTATTACCTCCCTAGACTATTTAATACCGTATTTTTCACCCCCTCAACTATTTAATAGTGTATTTTAAAGGTATATATGTGCCCACATGGACACATTACTATTTATAATTTTGCATTATTTTTTATGTCCACGTGGGCAAATATATTTGTTTAAAATATGGTATTAAATAGTCTAGGGAGATAATAGGTCCTCATGAAAGTTTAGTATCGCAACAGCAAATCCGACCAAAGTTGAGGCATTTTTCAGACCATTATCCCAAAAATTAAATTAAATATCAAATAGAATGACAATTCTATCTTTGTATAAAATGACAATTATACCCTTAAATATTATAAGAGCATTGCGTTGTTAGGTTTAGTTTTTTTTTAGATTGAAACAAATGAAACAAACAAGAGATGGGAATTCAGTTCATCCAAAATAGAATAAAAATCATAAAAGAATAAACAAATATCATATCAAGAAGATGAACAAGTCTCCATTGATGATGAAACATGAAATTTGTTGATCATTAAATTTCCCTGATGTAAGATGTGAAATGAATAACAATTTTAAGTTCTTAGTATCTTAATCTCTAATTGGGAGGTAAGAGCAAGAATGTTCATAGAGAAGAAATTAAAAATCTTGTCTTGCAATCAAGGTTGAATCAGAAATTGAAAAATGAAAAGTAATAGATGAAATTAAAAGAAATGCATACCAAGTTCTAGGTGACTCTTCGATTTCAAGAAGATGAAGTTGTGCAATTTGGATCTTCACTTCGGTTAATCTAGATTAGCCAGAAATTGTGCAATTTTGATCTTCTCTTTTTGAATTACAAAGAAAAAAACTTGAATTTGGCTTTGAATTATTTTGCTGAAAATTTGAGATTCTCTGAAAAATCAATGAAACTGTTGTAAATAAGTATACAAGAGAGATTGTGAAAGAAAGATCAAGAAGCTGATATAACATTTAACAGATTTCCCTTCCTTAATTAATTCTTACGGATTCTCTCAACTTTGGACCTTCACCATGTGCGTTGCATAGACGTAAATTAATATAAAACACTAAAAGTTAACAATCTAGATATGAGAGAAGAACAAAAAATAGTAATGCGCCAGAACACATTGCGGCAATATCTCAAAGGATGGTCAAGTAATATTTAACAATCTAGTTATGAGAGAAGAACAAAAATATTGACGATGAACTTACTGAAACTAGAAGAACAAAAAGAATAAACAAACTTGAAACAACAGTAAGAAGATGAATTGTCTGGGAGAGAAGAAGATGGAGTGTTTTTAAAAGGTATGAGTGAAAATTTCTAGACATAGATATTTAGTATTTTGATAATTAACCACGTGGAAGGATTTAATGGACAAGTAAAATAATTTTTTATACATACAAAATTAAACTAAATATCAAATAGAATGATAATTCTATTTTCTGTAAAATGACAATTATACCCTTGAATATTACTAGAGCACCACGTCATTAGGTTTAGATTTTTTTTTCTTTAAGATTGAGACAAATAAAACATACAAGAGATTGGAATTCAGTTCATTCAAAAGAGAATGAAAATCATAAAAGGATGAACAAATACCATAACAAGAAGATGAACAAGTCTCTGTTGATGATGAAGCATGAAGATTGTTGATCATGAAATTGCCCTGATATAAGATCTGAAATGAATAACAACTTTAAGTTCCTAATATCTTAATCTGTAATTGGGAGGTAAGAGCGAGAACTTCAGAAAGAAGAAGAAATTGAAAATCTTGTCTTGCAACAAAGTTGAATTGGAAATTGAAAAAATGGAAAGCAAAAGATAAAACTAAAAGAAAATCATACCAAATACTATGTGACTCTTTGATTTCAAGAAGAAGAAGATGTGCAGCTTGGGTCTTCTCTTCGATTACTCTAGACTAACCAAACACAAAGATGCTTCTAGACTAATAAACAGGGAGATGAAACTTTTGAATTTGGATCTTCTACTCTAGACTAACTTGACACAAAGATGCTTCTAGACTATTAACAAGGAAGATGAGGTTGTGCAATTTATGTCTTCTCTTTTAGAACAACAATGAAGGAAACTTGAATTTGGTCTGAATTATCTTGTTAAAATTTTGAGATTCTTTGAAAAAACTGATGGAATTGTTGTGAAAAAAATACACAAGAGAGAATGCGAAAGAAAGACCGAGATGATATAACATTTAATAGATTATCATTGCTCAATAAATTGTTTACGGATATATGTTGTTGGTCGTCCTCATGATGGCTTTTCTATATAGTAGAAAAAAATAAAATAAAAATAATATATATACTATAAAAGAAAATTAGACAAGTAATTTGAAACAAAAAAAATACTAAATATAAATATAGAAAATTTAAGTAGAAGGGCAAATCAGTCATTTGCCGATTGAGCCTAAGTTTCTCTCTCTCTCTCTCTCTCTATATATATATATATATATATATATATCTACTATTTTTTTCGTACTTTTTAAATACATAACATACTATAAAAGAAACTTAAGACAAGTAAATTGAAACAAAGAAAATACCAAACATAAATAGAGAAAATTGAAGTAGAAGGACAAAACAATCAATTTGACGATTAAGTCTAAGCTCCTCTCTACTCCCTTTAATATAAAAGAAAGAGAGACAAATTATACTCTACTTTTTTCGTACTTTTTAAATATATAACATGTTTAAAAGAAAAATAAGACAAATAAGTTGAAACAGAGAAAATATTAAATATAAAGATAAAATTGAAGCATAAGGGCAAAATGGTCAGTTCATCGATTGACCCTAAGCTCTTCTTGATTCCTTCTATATATATAAAAAATATATAAAAGATAAAAGAAATAGAGAAGAATTATACTCTACTTTTTTCGTACTTTTAAAATACATAACATATTAAAAGAGAAAGTAAGATAAATAAATTGAAATGAAGAAATTACTAAACATAAATAGAGAAAATTGAAGCAGAAAGGCAATCAGTCAATTCGCCGACTGACCTAAGTTCATCTTGATTCCCAGAGAGAGTAAGAAGAATTTTTTTTATATGATTTTTAAAAATATTTTAATTGTTAATTATTGTGATTCATGATATTTTTTACGTAATTTTCAAATAATATATGTTATTCTTTTTGTCCCAATTTATATGAAACATATGAAATTTGATGAGTTCACCAAATTTTTAATATATTTTTTCAATATTTTTAATTATTAATTTTTGTGGATATTATACTACATATTTTCATAGTTTTTTAAATACATAACATACGTAAAATAGAAAATAAAAACAAATAAATTTATACAGAGAAAATATCAAACATAAATAGAAAAAAATTGAGGTAGAAAAAACAAATCGATCAATTGACTAACTGATCGAAGTTTCTCTTCCCTTAACTAGAGCCGTCAAAATGGGCTTAGCCCATGGGGCCGATCCAACCCAACCCATTATTAGGATATGGTTGAAATCGGATTTTTCAAGCCCATTTAAAACTAGGGCTTATAAGCCCGACTCGTATAAGCCCTTGGCTTGAGGCTTGATCGGGGCTAAAACTTTTTATTTAAGGGTAACTTACAATAATCTCACTAGTATATAATCTAATTACTTAAATACACGCTATATCGTAATATTATGAATCTTAGCAGATTTTGATACGTCCAGATACATGTATCTTGAAATATATCGACTCAAAATTAGGTTAATTTGTTCTAGATACACTTTATCAAAGTAGATTTGCATGTATCAATGATACATAGACAAATCTCGCAACCTCGCCTCCCTCCCATATTACTTGCCAATCTCTTACCTCGCTCACGTATCTGGTATGCAAGATACATGCTAATTACACTAGATTATTCACTAGTGTTATTGAAACAACACAATCATTTGACATATTTGATTTGAAAATCTTCTCATTTTCTTAATGTTATAGAATACAAGTTTGAAAAGAAAAAAAAAAGAAAAAAGAAGGGCTAGCCCACCCCAGCCCTTAGCCCTTTTAAGGTTAGGTTGAATTGAACATTTTTAGGCCCTTTCAAATGAAGGGCCGGCCCGCACTAGCCCTTCAAATTCTTAACCCGCGAGGCTTGGGCCGACCCTTTTTGCCAACTCTACCCTTAACTAATAGAAGAAGTAAATAAGAGAAAAATATAAATAAATTGATAAAAACATTTTATTTTTGGGTATAGTAAGCCACGTAGGACAAAACAAATCTTTTTCTAAATTCTCCAATGTAAAATAAAATAATAAAAAATAAAAAACGCCAAAGTCCATCACATCACCCCCAATTCACCGGCGGCGAGCGAGCAACCGAATCCATTGCTTGAAGGTAAACTTTTCCCCTTCTCTTTCCCCTCTCTATTTGCTTCCATGGCTGAAGGTCCAGAACTTTATACTTCACTTGCTTCATGATTTCGCTTATACATTTGAGAACGGTATCAAAATCTCAATTAGTGAGAATTATTTGTCAAGATCTGTTTACCTTTTATGAATGAAGTTTTTGGTTTAACAATTTGAATTTTCCCCAAAAAATGAGAACTTAGGGATCAGTTGATTATTGAAAAAGTAGAACACGCTTCAATTGGCTGATTTTGTAGTTATACCTGTGAGATTTTACATCAAAATAGGCAGAATTCATTGTAGTTTGTTGGTAGAAAAAAGTTGTAATTTTTGTTGATGTTCCAAGCTATCGTTGGGTATCTAAAGAAGTTGAATTTTGTATTTTAAACCAAGTTGTGCTGCTAGAAACCCCGACGCAGAGCAAAGATGAAAGATGATTCGGAGTTATTGAATAGAGATTTGCCATCCCAACTCTCTGACTCCTGTGCAGTTTTGGGTTAGTGGAGCAAGAGAAATAAGTTAAATTAAACCCCTCTCCACTGGCCCAAAAATAAGATATTACCCTGTTTCCTTCTATCTTTATCTAAAAAGGATGAATCAGAAAATATATATCTGATGTTGCACCTGGATCTAAAAGTAGTTACCATACACTATTTTATCCAAAAATACCTTCTGAGAAAAGTTCTATTGGTCGTGCTGTACTTAATTTATCTCATGAATGTGTTTTTGTCCATTGTTCATCGTTAATATTCATTGTTCTATCAAAAAATAGGAACTTTCTTTTGTATCATTAAATTCTTATCTTTTCTTTTCTGATTCTTGTTAGATTATTTACTACTCCTATTATTTTTGAATTATGAGATTTATCAGCAGTTTTTGTGCACCTTCTTGCCCACAATTGTTATAGTTGAACCTCTTTCTCTAATCACTTCTCGTGCCAACGTTATCTGCAGGTGAAGTGTTCATTTTTATTTCAGTTGTGAATTAATGATCGTCTAAAGGTTGATCATCTTTAATACCATGGTTTTATCCGTGGAAGGTTAGTATTTTGCTGCTTTGCATGTTTATTTCACAGATGTAAATGCCATCTTAAGACCAAACGGAAAAAATTGTTACCTTAAAAAAGTACACAAGGAAAAGGAAAGAAGTAAATGGTGCTCTAACCAAGGGACACAGATTCTCATGGTTCTTTTTTCTCCTTTTTCTTTGTTTTTCTAATTTTTTTTCTAGATTAATCCAGCTTATGATCCCTTTTTTTGATATGTGGACTTTATGTGTCTTTGACACAGGATGATTGTTATCTTTTGTAAAGAGAAAAAATCATTTGTGGTTGTGTTTTGCTAATTTGAAGTTGCATTCTTGTATACTGGCCTTTTGTCATTGTTCCATTTTTCTTTATTTTTAAATTGTTTTCTGTAATAAATTGAGTAGACAAGCCCTAATTCTTATACTTAAACCTCATGTGTGTGTGGAATGATTGTGTTTGCTACTTGAGTTGTAGTTGTGCGCATAGGCACCCATTATTTAACTTTCAGGATCATTTGCTGATAATGTTAAGGGGGGAAGGAGAGGAAAGGAGAGGAAAACACTCAAGGATGTAACCTAGATGTCAATGAAGTGGACTGAGAGCCATGGGGTCTCATGTTCAAATTCTAGTAAAGACAAAAATACTAGGTGATTTCTTCTCATCTGTCCGCATTGTCGGATAGAGTTACCTAGTAGGTTGGTGGGAGGCGATAGGTATCCCATGGAATTAGTCGAGGTGCGCGTAAGTTGGTTTGGACACCACAATTATTAAGGAAAAAGGAAGGAAAAGGAAAGAGGATGGTGGTGAATTTTGAACACTAAAGTATTGTATTTTTGATTCCCTCTCCGTCTCTTCCCTTGCGGATCCTTGTATGACATCTTTAATTCCAGAAAACTTGGATTCAAAGTCATTTTCTAGTAGTTTTTGAAATCTTCATTCATCTTTGACCCCATCCTACAAGAAAATTAGGACATCTAGAGTCTTCCTGTGAATGAGCTCCTTCGTTCACCAAGCCGTAGACATCCTTGGTGTCACAACTGCTTTTACATCATGAGCCATGATGAAAAGTACGGGAAATCGTATTGTCTTGTCCTTCCACCTTGTTATTTGATACAAATTTTGCTGAATGATTGGCGTTAAAACTACAAGTCTAAGATGGCTCATATAGTGCAATCAGCTGATGGATTGCACTTCCTTTTGGAGGGTAAACCTCTGCTGATTGAACTTGTATGATGATATTGAATGCAGTGGTGATTTTGGTTGTTCTTTATCACCTTTTGGTGAAAGTTTTACTTCTTTGTTGGCTGAGTTCCTATTTATGATTGAGTTACTGCTCTGTGAGGATTTTTTTCAAACTTTAACTTGCAAGTGAACATGTCATCAACTAATATAGCTATGCTATCAGTTCTGTGTAAGGAAGCACAACAGTGTGAACAGAAGCAGAGGAAGAAATACACAGCCACCTTAGAACAATTATCGGCATTTGAAGTATTGCTTGATGAGGTTTATGTGGATTGTCGCCCTAAACCAAGTGATTATGATGCTCGAAGAGATTTGCTTCGTATCTTTAATGAAATAGCAAAGGAGGTTTATGGTAATTGAATAACAATATTTCTGTATTATTCTATTTGAATTTCATAATCTTTTGATGTGTGAAGGATGGTAGTCTATATTGAGTTTCACAATGTTCATCAATTTGTCAGGCTACTTCTCTTTTCATTGTTATAAGTAGTAGATGGGGGTGGGGAGTTACAATTGTAAATCCGTAGCATAGGGCCATACTTTTTGCACAAGTGCTCATTACTCTTTGTTTCAGGCAATTCTGCTGATGCTCCTGTCGTTGAGGTGTTTGGGTCATTTTCGATGGATTTATTCTGTGTTAAAAGTGACTTGGATCTATCTATCAACTTCACCAACAGAAAAGTTAACATTACACGGGAGAAGAAGATTCAGACTCTGAGGAAATTTGCAAAAAAATTTTATCTACTTCAAAGTAACCTTTGAACTTGTTCTTCAACTTTCTGTGATTTTCATGTATATTGTTCCTTCAAGAATCTTGTAATCCTAAAATGTCATCATAGTGAGGAATGAGTAAGTTTAGGAAGGACTTTGAAAGCAAGTACATAACACTGGCAAAATGAGCTAAAAGTTTAAACAAATTCTGGTTGATGAACTTACTGTTTATATTGGTAGGCTTTGCAAGGGAATATGGAATTGTGGTGATTTGGTCATTACATGATGCTTGTTCATATTATACTAATGGTGGTGATGGCTCTTTATAGAATTTCCTTAGATGCTAGTCTTAGTTTAATTAGGTTTTGGTTTGTGTGTGGGGTGGGTGGGTGACTTAAACATGTGTAAGGAAATGGGAGTATTTGAGTGGTGGTTTGTGAGATTTGACTTGGCTAAGTCGGCTACACTAGGTAGAGTATCTAGGATGCTTTCTGTTAGCAATTTACTAATACTAGTTTTTTTTTAGTAAGTTCTTTAGCTCCAAGTCAGTTAGATTTTTTAAACTTTAAGCTTCTAGAATCAAATTCGTAGATATTAAGTTTTTTTTTTTTTTTTTAATCCTAGAATACCTTTCAGTTATGTAATTGAGTAGTCCAATGAATATTATTATTATTTAACAATAGTGAGTAGTTAAACGTTAATAATTTGTTACTTCTTCTTATATGAAACTCCTTTGTACTCGTTTGAGAAAGTACAACATTGAGAGACATTCTGGTCAAATTCTTATTGTTAACCTAATTTCAAAAGTTTATACTTATCATATCGTTATATTCCTAAGACCTAATATGATTATCCTTGTAATGTTATTCTCTCATTACTTAAATTTATATCTTCGGAGTTCCATACGTTACTTCGATGACAATTAAAGCATGCTCAGTGTAGGGGTATTACATTCCGACTCCTAAGAATTTTATTTTTGAAATCAGTAACTTTGTATCATATCAGGGATCAAAACAGTACTTGGATAGTACTGAAACCATATTTACAATAGAGCTCTAGTGTCTTCCCCTTCTAGCTATAAAGAATCTTGAACATCTATCATAGACATGGTATCATTAAAGTAAATCTGATTACACCAAAAATATAGCAGTAAGATGAAGTTCAACTTGATCTGCTGCACATCATTCTCTAAGCTCTCAAAACATCTAGAATTCCTCTCCTTCCAAACTGTCCACCAGATTCAAGGTGGGACAGTTCTCCATCTACTCCTATCCTTAGCATGTGAACATGTTCCCTCCCAGTTCTTATCCTCTGTTATCTTGCCTGGCATTGTCCATGCTATACCCATAAGGTTTAGGATGATTCTCCACAAATGAGCTGTGTATGGACAATGCAGAAAAGATGGTTGACTGTCTCAACTGTTTCTTTACACGGGAAGCATCTTGAGGACAATGTCATACCTCTACCCATCAAGTTGTCCATGGTTAAAGTGGCCTCCTTTGCTAGTCACCTCTAGGCTATCACTCCCTGCCCTAGCTACCTTAAAACCCTTTATCTATCCATACAAATTAACTGTTTTGAACATAGTGTTCAGTCCTTCCATGGCAATGATAAACAAGAAAGGAGACAGAGGATCTCCTTAAGAAATTTGGTCCCCTAATTTATTCTTGTCCTCCTAAAGACTTGGAGTGTTGTGGGTGTCTTATCCTCAAGTCATCCTCGAATTTCCAAGTTGTTTCTTTAGTTATGTAGTTCTTACATATTACCTTTGTTGATACTACATTCTTCAAACATAGTTTTCACACTTGATGATCCACTATAGCCACTGGTTCCTTCTTGGAAGTCATGTCCTTTTATACTTGTATGGTAGTAGTTCACTATTTTTTTGGTTTAAACAAGAGTTGGTAGGGGAGACAGTAGATTTGGTAGATTTCATAGGAAACTTGTAAAAGTACCCAAATGGGGGTGTGTTCACTACTCTGTGGGTTGTAAGTTTCCAATTCATCATTCATTGAATGATGAATTGTTTGTGTGAATACAAAGTTACCCTTATCTAAAAAAATAGTAATTCTTCGTACGCACTTGTGTTTGTATATTTCCTTCGAATTCATTTCTCCTCCTGTACTGACCAAAAAACTTAGCATTCTATCATTATCCTTTCTCCAAGTCAATAAATATCAAACCATTTAATTCCACGTCAATAAATATCTTTTCTTAGATCGATGCTTGGAGAACTTTGTGCTATGAAAATTTTCCCTCTGTTTTCTTCTTTCGCTCAGTCAGATATACATTTTTCATGTTCAAATGAAGAACATAGCAGCCTATTTGATTTAGTAATATTTATATATTAAAATTCAGTAAAAGTCTAGGGATAGATTAGAAGATATGATGCAGTAATGAAGCAGTGGAAGGGATTGCGCTGGCATTGGAGACATGTCTTGAATCATACCATAGGGCCGATGCCATGTGCACTAAGTTATTCTACCAATGCCCCTATCAACTACCGGATCTCAAATATTTAAAATGGTAGAGATAGAAAGCTCTATGCAGTGACCAACAGATAGACCTTGATACATTTACAATTATCTTCTGATATTGTTGAGAATATAATTAAATAATAAAAGTGTGCTCTCTTCAACAACTTAACCTTTTAGATGAGATGGTCACACACTTCAACATAGTATAGAGCAGACAAATGTCCTGAGATCGACTGCCACCTATATCAAAAATAATTTTCACGTGCTTGGCCCATGAAAAAGAATCGGGCCCACATGTGAAGGTGTGTGTTGAGAATATAATTAAATAATAAAAGTGTGCTCTCTCTAACAGCTTAAGCTTTTAGATGAGGTCGCACACTTCAACAAATATGAAGTAATTTCTTTGAAATCTCTACAAAAACATACATATATATATATATGTTTTATACAAGGTAAAAAGACTTTGAACTTCATTGTGTTCAAAGGTAATTTTTTGATGGCCATCCTTAGAAGTTGATCGTCTTGACATGATATTTAGAGAATTTTGTGTAGTTATAGACTTCTATTAATGTTTTTGGTGGCTCTGATATTTAAAATTCTGCCTCAGGGAATGGTTTTGTTTATGGTGTCAATCCAATTACAACTGCCAGGGTGCCAGTTCTCAAAGTTGTTGACCGAGGAACTGAAATTGAATGTGATATATCAGTTGAAAACCGGGATGGGATTTCAAAATCAAAGACAATTTACATGATTGGTGCCATTGATGAACGTTTTCGGAAATTGAGCTTCTTGGTAAAATATGCTTGTTGTCTCGCACACACAAACACACACATATCACAAGAGGGTTTTAGTTTCCTTTGCACAGGAAAAAGGTTGCAGAATCATGTTAAGGATCACATTACATATTTGCAATATATTATGAATATCTTTCTTTTCTTGATATTTTTTGGGTATCCTGGGTTGGGAGGCAATTGGATGCAGCCTTCGAATGAGGTCCTACATTTGTGATCTCATAAATATACCTGGGAATCAGGAATATAAGAAAGCTGAAGAGTCTCCTCTCTTTTTGTTTTTGGGTGTTTTCATAAATGTCCATCCTAATTTGGCCTCTCAACTAATTCATTCACCTTTTGGGATGCATTTTTAATTGAAGGTTAAAAGCCTCCAAAAATGTTATTTGATGCGTTTATAATTTGAGGATATAAAGGACTTTTTATCCTGCAATTTCTGTTTGCAAGTTCTGAATAGGACTTCTAGGGGTGAGCTTCCATCATTAGGAGAATGTTAAGGATACACCTCTTTGAATAGCAACAGACATAGTTGGAGCAGACATTTGGTGGACGAAAAATGAAATCGGGGTGCAGTCCATGTGCCTCTTTGATAAAGAACTCTGGAAAGAAAGCAAAACGAGTACACTTGTCCTCGGTTTGCAAAAGGAACCTGATGTAAAGCTACAAAATCCTTGTAAACTGGTGCCCCAATTATAGGTGGAGGAAATTTCGAAGTTGAGAATGAGCTTTCATATGTTTCAAATTTGTTAATTTTGGAGTTATCGCTTTGTCATACTGTCAGAGCTTCAACAAAATTGCTCGTGCGAGCAACCTAGGTTAAGAGGTTATAAGACTTTGAGAGCTAGAGCTCATATTCTAGGAAAGAAAGCACTAAGTATGTGGCTTATATAAGTGTCTGTTCATAATCCATAGAAAAAAAAAGAAGCTTTTATGTGTATCTTCCAAGATTTGACAATATACGGATGAAGCTTAATAATATGCTTTTTGCCTCCCTTTGCATTCAATTTTTGGAATAACTTGTCTAGAAGATAACACTGCAGGTGACAAAGCCCCTGGGTCTAATGGTTATACTATGACTTTCTTTAGCAAATGTTGGGAAATAATTGGATCAGATGTCATAGCTGCAGCACAAAATTTCCATGGTCAAGAAGTTTTTGAGAGGAGCTTCAATGCCACCTTTGTGGCACTTATATTAAAGAAGGTGGGAGCTGTGGATTTCAATGATTTTAGACCTATCAGTTTGATTGGCAGTGTCTATAAAATCATAGCCAAGTTGTTAGGTGAGAGGCTGAAGAATGTGATCAACAAATTAGTTGATGGTCATCAAATGACTTTAATAAGGGGAAGACAGATTATGGATGCAATACTCATAGAAAATGAGTGTGTGGAGGCTAGACAGAGAAGTATACCTGGAATTTTATGCAAACTGGATATCCAGAAGGCATATGATCACCCAAATTGAGATTATCTATTGGGATCCTACTGAAGATGGGCTTTTGCACTAGGTGGATTGGATGGACCATATTTGCATCAGTACAGTGCAGTTCTCAATTCTTGTTAACTGTTCACCAACATGATTTTTCTCTTCTAATAGGGGGCTGAGGCAGGAAGATCCCTTGTCACCTTTTCTATTCTTCATAGCAATGGCGGGGATGAATGATATGCTCCAGACTGCTAGAAATAGGTAAATACCATAATAGACAACAACATAGAAATGTCTCATCTCCGGGCTTCACATTAATTGGGGAAAGACCTTCGTTTATCCAGTTAACATTTTGGAGGAGATTCACATGTTACCTGACTTTTTGGGAGGCAAAGTGGGAGAGTTGCCCACAGTTTACTTGGGTATGCCTTTGGGGGTAAACACAACTCAAAAGGGGATATGGAGTGGTGTGATAGGGAAGGGTGAAGTGAAGTTGACAAATAGGAAGATGCAATATTTATCTATGGGAGGGAGATTGACCCTTATTAGTAGTTTGTTAGATGCTCTACCAACTTATATGATGTTCTTATTCCCATCCCCTGTTAATCAAATGGGATATCATGAAAAGAAGCAAGGGAGTGGGAGGAATGTAATCATGAATCTTTTTTTTTGATAAAAGTAACAGTTAGTCTATATTTATCCACAGGTATACTACCTCAAAAGTGTAATCATGAATCTTTTCAGATTCATGATTAATGTAATCATGAATCTTTTCAGATTCATGATTAATGTAATCATGAATCTGAAGGCTCAAAAGCAGAGTTTGATGCTGAAATGGTTGTGCAGATATGCTACAAAAGGAGGACCATTATGGAAAGAAATTATTAGAAAGAAATATAGGGAGGAAAGCAGTTGGACCACAAATTCAATTAATGCTCCTTATGGGTGGAGTATTTGGAGGTTCATCAGGAATTTGTGGCCTAAGATGATGAGCAGAGCAAGATTAAAAGTGGGGAATGATATGAAGACTTCCTTTTGGAAGATAAGTTGGATTGGGCAAGGTGTTCTGCAACAAAATATCTTATGCCAACAACAAGAGGCTACAGTTGCTTAAGTTTGGTCTGACCAAGGATGGAATCTGATTTTTAGGAGATCCCTAAATGATTGGGGAATGGGAGGATAACTGAGTTTTACAATACCCTTAATAATTTTAAGGGTTCCACTGGAAAAATTGGGATGTTATGGCATGACTAGGAAATGACCAAGGAACTTTTACGGTGAAAGAGGTTTACAAGATTTTGAGCAAGTTAACTTTGCTCAAAATCTTTTTCCCTTCTCAAAAAAGATTTTGAGCGTAGTTAATTATCAAGTAGGCTATCATGGAAAATGATTTGGAAAGTAAAAATCCCACTGGAAGTAGCTTGGTTCTCTTGGCTTATGGCTAAAGAAGCAGTGTTGACACATGAAAAGTTGAGAAGTAAGGGATTTAATGCTCCAGATGTTTTTTATATGGGGAATGGGAAGAGATAACCAACCATCTCTTTTTGCACTGCAAAGGGACAAATCAATCTGAAAAATATTCATTAACCAGAGGGGAATCAGGTGGGTGGTTCCAGGAAACACAAAGGAGGCACTAGACTGGTCTTTGTCCAATATGAAGGAGAGGTGGAGGGTTGTCCCAGCATGCATTTGGTTGGGGGGGGGGGGAGATATTTTGATGTTTTAGGCAATAAGTTTCTCTACTGATTTGGGGGACTGTACACTTGTTATAGTATACCTGTTAATATATTGAATGCTACCATTATTAAAAAAATGATAGCACTGCTGAAGATTTTTAGCTTTCAGTTACTTTATCAGCTTATTCTAATAAAAAATTAGTTTCACACTTATATACGATCTACATGGACATCTTTACAGCAGTCACATGTATGAGTTGTCTTTGTTTTTTCAGTTTAGTTAAATACATTCAGTTCCTCTTTTCTTTTACTTTCCTTTTCTCAGTTTTGAGCAATGAGGTTTTTGAAGCCTCAGTTATGACTTGAATAAGGATTGCTATTGAAACAGTTTAAATTTGATGTGATCAAACATGTGTTGTTTGTGGTTGCGATTCTCTTTCCGGGCTTGTCGAATATTTAGACCCATAATTTGCTTTGGGGTTGATATCCCTTATGTAAACCAATATTTCTTTGGCTGTGTTTGCTCAGGTGCAATGTTCAATGTTTTTCACTAAAAGGAATGTTTTGCATCGTTACTTCACATTTCTGTTGTTAGATCTCATGAATTTCTCTTTGCAGATGAAAGCATGGGCGAAAGCACAAAATATTAACAGCGCAAAGGATCAAACATTGAATTCTTTATCCATAATACTCTTGGTTGCTTTCCATTTGCAGGTATGCTTTTTAGGACAAGTTCATCATTTGCAGAAACCCTCAAGTTATCATTATTTTTCTATTTCCTCATTCTTTGTGGCATACCAGAACGTCTAATTTATCACGTCTTCTATTCGAAATTCCCATGTTTTCTATTCATCTGGATGTCATGTTAAAGAAACTTTAGGCGTCGAGCATTTTTCGTTATTCTTTTGGGATGTTTGGCTGACGTGTTTTTATCTCCGCCTGTAAGACCTTACAATTTATTATATGACAAGGGCTTCCGAATCTTGAACATGCTAATGCATCTAGTTCCTTAGAAATGTTGATTGAACTTTTTGCCATTTATTGAAAGACTATAATAAACAAAACTGTCATTTACTATTTTCTTAATATTTTTATCTTTGATAATAAATAAAATTTTGGTTACTAGAAATTTCCATATTTGAATTATAAATGTAGATATTAAATTCCCTTCATTAGAAGACAAGGTTTTAATAACTCACGTCAAATCATTAAAGGAAATTATTGAAAACTTACCAACTTTTTTTTTTTTTTTTACGAAAAGGATTACACTATCACGTCAAGAAGTCATTTAAGGAACATATTGTCCCTTTTTTTTCCTCTCTTAATTTCTTGGAGAACTTTTCCTAAATTATTAAGTTTCTAATTGTCTTCCTAGGCAAAGAGCTCGTTTGGATTGGTTTAAAAAAAGTAGTTTTTAAGTCAAAAATAAGAAGTCAAACTTTTAAGTCAAAAAAATAAAAAGTAGGGGGAGACCTACTTTTGGATTTTGACTTATTTTAAGTCATTTTTGACCTTGCCAAGCACTTCCTAACTTATTTTAAGTTATTTTTTATATTTGCCAAACACTTCCGAATGTCAAAAACTAGCTTAAAAGTAGGTTTGATCAACTTTTAAGCCAATCCAAACACCCTCTAAGTTGCTCGGACTCTTCACTGTTGGTGCTGCACCCGTGTCGACACGACATGGGTGTGGGCGTGGGATCCGTGTCCAATTTGGTCAACCAATTTTGGGTACTTTGACCAAAATCGATGGAGAAAGTTCGGACAATTTTAATGATTTCTATAACCCATACAAAAGCTAAGGTGAAATTGAAGAAAACGGAATACATTTTATATAGAAATTTCTGTGTCACTCATTTTCCTTTAATCTCCTTCCAAGATTCTTCTCAAGTTCTCCACATATTATCTCATAATTTAGGTTTTATAACTCTATTTTTAGATATTTAATTACATTTAGGCGAATCCCCGCACCCCTATCCATGCATGGATCCATATCCCCGAATCTTAAAAATTAGATCATGAAGGATCCGACCTCTAGATCCGGACCCGTATCGGACACCCGCACCCGAACCCGAGTCCGAGCAACTTAGTTCCTATGGTGCTGTTTTTCAATAGAAATATGGCAATTCTCAATTTTAGTAATATTATTATGGCATGATTAAAACAATAAATAAAAAAAGGAAAGAATTGAAGTAGTGAAATTTATACAAGACAAAATAAAGTATGCCTTTTTTCACATAAGTGGAGTTAGGATAATTAGTTAGCGTAAGTTTCCTCTTACCTTGTATTGATCTCTTAGGGGTCGTTTGGTTTGAATATGAGTTATGATGGGATAAGTTATGTTGGGATAAGTTATGTTGGGATTAGTTATGATGGGATAAGTTGTCCTGGGATTATTTCTTATTGAGTGTTTGGTTTGTTATATTCAAAATAATATATATTGATAAATTTTAAGAACAAGTTGTTTGTTTACAAAATTACCCTTCACTTTATTTAAACTTTTTAAATTTTTCTTTGTGAGCTTTAGTTATTCATTTTTTAAAATAAAACTTTTATTTTTTTTAACTTAAATATTTTTGTTTATGTATTCCCATGATAAGTACCATGTGTATTTAAAAATATAACTTTTTTCTTATTTAGCTTAAAAATAGAACTTTCCTCTTAAGTTTATTAAAGAGAAGAAAATTTATGAGAAATCAAAATAAAATAAACATAAGAATTAGTCAAATAAATTCATAAATAAAAATTATATTTATATAGTATAATTTTTTAATAGAAAAATATGTATAATTATCATAAAAATAAGGAGTAGTAAATATTATTATACATGGTATTAAAAAAAATGTAAATATACATAAATGTAAAAAATGATATATAAAAAGGATTTAAAGGGACATATTTGTCATTTACCTATTCTATCTCGGGATAAGTTATCCCGGGATTACTATACCACCCATGGGGAGGGATAACTTATCCCGGTACTAATTATTAATCCCGGGATAAGTTATCCCGGACTTGCCAACCAAACAACATAATTTTTTTTTTATCCCATCACTATTTCCTTATCCCATCACTATTATTTCTAATCCCTCACACCAAACGAGCCCTTAGTTCTTTCCTTATCTTAAGAACTTATCAATAATGTCGCTCTTCTTTGTTCTTTATTTTTTGTTCATGTTGAGTGTTCTATAGTACGTTCATGGACAAAATCAATATGTTTTTTTTATAGATAACCTACTATAATCAATTTGGAGAGTTTCATAGTTTGGTGGCATAACAGTTCCTTAATGACCAATTACAAATAAATAATGCGTTTGTGAACCCTCAGGGGTTGGCCTGCTGGCAATTGACTTGAGCCTTGGGGTTTGCTCCCTTTCAAGGTCTCAAGTTCGAAACCCACTAGGTGCAAACAATTTCTGAGGGCCATCGGATTGGGTAAAACCTGAATTAACTGTGGTGCACTTGCGGGAAACTCCTTGCCGAGGGCCTGTGCACCCCCGGGATTAGTCGGGGCTCAAAGAGACTCGGACACCCGGTGCAAAATCAAAAAAAAATAATAATGCGTTTGTGATATGATATCAGGTGAAATACCAGAAAATCGTATGTTTGAGATACAATATTCATTTATAGCATTTTTTTAACGTCAATTGCTACTTTTTAATAATTTTGTTCTTTCTTATATATAGTTTTATTGATTGACGTGAGATACACATGCAAAGCATGTCTACTAAACTAGTATATTTATACACGTGTTTGTGTGTGTATTCCAGATCCTTATCAAAGTATATAATTAGATCTTTGTATAGATTATTTATGAATATTTTTCCTCATCATCACTTACTCGGCTTAATTGAAAACCCTGCAGACGCGAAATCCTCCCATACTGCCTCCATTTTCCGCCTTATTCAGAGGTAAAACTCTGACTTATTACATTTCAAGTTTCCCGTAAATCTATGTAGCGTAGTTAATTCTGGTTGAAATTTCTCAATCCATCATAAAGGGCAAATTTCGTTTTAGAATCATTTTGGACTTCAGTATGTTTCTTTGAAGATTTAGCATTTGATTTGAATACTTGCTATGTTGCTTAATAGTACTATTTTACCATCACTTAAACAATATCATGTTAAGTTTACTTCTGGCATTTTAGGTTTTGGTATTAGACGTATGATGCTATGTGCTGATATAGTGTTCTGTGAAAGTTATCTGTGAGATTGGTTTTATATTTAGTTCTGGTATATTGAGAGCTGTAAACAACTGTCAAGTCACATCCATGTCGAATGGCGGTGCTGTCACAAAATTTAAGTCATGGGAAAAGAGGTCATATTTAAGAGGCTTTTAACTTGGAGAAAGGCAAAAGTTTGTTTGATCAATCAGAAGAACGTATGCAAGTGCTTGTTCAAGTATGAGGATCGTGGATTGTCATCTTTGAGGAAAACTGTAATGTTGTTCCCTCCTGGTGCAGCCGTGAGTTGAAGGGAAGATACACCAAACAAATTTATGACAAACATTCATTAATATACTATATGGGCCTTGTTGAGTTCTGGATTTAGGTAATATGAATGTCATTCATGTGCATGGAAATTCTAGGCAGAAAGCTCTAAATACCATAGATATGAAGCATTATTTTGCTTTGATGTGGCCTAAGTTTTCATACATCTCTTTTAGTTATTAGTCATGAATCTGTCTCGTTCTTTCTATTTCCGAGTATTATATATCCATCTTTCAGTTTGTATTTGATTGGTCACCGATTATTTTAATTGACTTCCCATCTTTGTGCTAGATGGTAATGACTCAGTAGCAGTGGAGAGCTCTGTGTGTAAGTTTTCAAACTATGGAATCAGAAATAAAGAATCAGTGGCTGAGCTCTTTGTTTCTCTATTAAACAAGGTTGGATTTTTTTTCTCCGTTGGTAAAAAATGGTTCATGTACCATGCAGGCTGTAATTTTTACATATTATGTTCTAATCTCTATATTGGCATTATACATAGTGTGATTTAACTATTGCAGTTTCTATCAGTTGAGAAGCTCTGGTCCGAAGGGTTGTGTGCCAGCACATTTGAAGGATCTTGGATATCTCAAACACGGGGTTTTGGAGTTGGCCGTATAAATGTGATTGTGCTTGGCTTTGTCATTTCTTGACATGTTCTTAACACACAATAAATTTATGTTAGTTTAACGGTTTTCACAGGTTGAAGATTTCGCTGATAGATCTCAAAATGTTGCAAGGGCAGTAGGAGCAGAAGAAGTTAAAAAGATTTACAGCTGTATCCAGCTATCAGTCCAACACATATTTGATTTCTTACATAAAAAGATTGGAGGGAACTCTTTAAGGGAGTTCCTATTTGGCCAAAATGTAGCCTCCAAGCTAGCTGGCGCTGGTACTGCAAAATCTATTGCGAAAGGAATACAAGCTCGTGCTTCTGGAAAAAAGGAGGTGCAATCTGTTACATTGTCAAAAGGAAATAAAAAAACTGTACATGTTGATTCTATCTTGACAAAAAGCAGGACATCTGCGAGAAGTCCGAGAGGGATGGCACAAGGAAAACGTAAACTTCTGGGGCCAACTGACTCTTCCTTGACAAAAAGAAGTCGAACAGATGATTGGTTGGGAGGCGCCTTCTCTGAGTTGTCAAGAAGGCAGCCAGGACAACAGCCTATGCCTTACTACTTGATGAATAGTTGGGAACCAGTGGCAATGATCTCAAGAGAAGCCATGTACAATAGGCCTCAACCTGTTTCGTTTGAGCCTACCTATGGAAGGATGAGATTTGCAGAACCTTCTGGACACCCAAATCTGATTGCTCCAGCTGTTCCTCATATGTTTCCGTCCAGACCCCCTATAGGTAGTCAAATTTCTTATGAGCCATTGAGACATCCTGTTGGTTATCCTAATTCGGTTTATGATTCTATGCATTCCTCAGCATATTTTTTGCCCCCTCATCCTAGGAGGTTTTGATGTGTAAGGTTAAACCTAATGATTCCTCATCAATGTAATTCTGCCATGGGGATGTAGAAGTTGAAACAGATACTAGTTTAAGGGCAGCATCCAAATGTTAAGTGTACAAGAATTAAAGTTTTCTTTTTCTTCCTAATACCTTCAAAGTTCTGAGTTTATACATTGCATTCTACTTTGCCTATATTAATGAAGCACTTTTCTTGTGTCTTGGGTATTCCAATCTGTAATTTTTGATAAATCCTCACACCATTTTTTCTCTATGTGAATTATCAGTCGAATAATACTCCTGTTACCTCTTTGTAACACTTGATTAGAAACGAAGAAAGAGCAATGAACATATATACACTAAGAGTTGAAGAACTTTACTCGAGTTGCACAGAGTAGAGTTGTCATGACAATTGTGTTTTAACTAGTTATTTTAGTCAGAATGCTTGTCTTCGTATGGTTACTGATCTTATTTAACATCAGCCAAACAGTAGAGAAGTTCATGGATCATTTTTTTTATTGTCCATCCCTTGATGCTGTTAAGTCTAATGATATAAATATAGCTTAGTGGTTGTGCTTTCAATTTGCAAGTCTGACTGTTTATCATAATGGGAATGGGATTGGGATTGGGCATTTGATGTTCAATGATTGTTGAAAGCTTTTTCTAACTGTTTATGTTGTGGGACCAAAATAATATTAGTTGAGGATAGGATAAGAAGTTAGTTTTGGTCCTATCTGTTGGAGTAGTTGGCAATACCATCTCATTTGGCGTCAGAGAATGTAAATATAGATAAGAATTGATGTTTCCAGCATTTTTGGTACCTCATATTAAAATGTCTTCTTTGCAACTATCCCTATAATTGATTGATAGGAGTTAAGACAGTTGTTTATGGACAAGAAAAATGATTGCTCATGAGTCATGAACATGCATTGTTGTAAGGGAAAATTGTATGAAATAGCAAGTTATTAATTCAAATTAAATGTTATAGTCATAATTTCTTTTATTTGTATACTGAAATATACAAATAGACCGAAATATACAAATGCAGGACCCGTTTGTATACCGAAATATACTAGACCCAAATACAGATTTTTTATACAGATTAATAGCCATAGCAACATAAAGTTTGTTATGGAACGCAATTTTACAAACTATAATTATAGCATATTATGTTTGCTATATGTGAAAGTTGCTCTTGTTGTAATACAGGTCGATGAAATGATTGTCTTTTAAGTGTATATAACCAAGTCAAAAATCTAATGTCAAGAGTTATAATTTCGAAATATGCACAGAGCCCAACCATTTATCAGTAAGTTATAAGTTTATGCTATAAGTTTTCCTGTACCATATAACTGATGACTAGTACAAAATTCTCAAAAGAAAATTACACTATTTAAAGGAAACCAAATTGACCTAAAATGCAATAACAACTTGAAAAGTGGTGCAAGTTGCAACATTGAATAAAGAGGCTATGATGGGTTAATGTAACCACTAACGACTTCTCCATTCATATTTAGGCTTTTAAGTTCTATACAGTACCGATATAGTGTACAAATAACATATCGAGAACCTAACATTAACAACATATTCAATATAGTCCTAGAAAGTAAGATCTAAAAAGAGCAAATTATATTGTATACAGATTTTATCCTTTTTTCAGTGGTAGATAAGTTTCTTCTGATAGACCATCGACCCAAGAAAATAATCCAAAGGAGTCCCAAAAGAAGTTATAGAGGTACAAAAACAACAAATAATAACATAAATCACAGATAGTAACAGAAAGTGAAGGACAAAAAACTATTGGAATAATACTATGACTACTAATATGAACGGACAACAAGCAAGTAGACAACATACTTCTACCTGCTAACCTTCTACTCTAATCGATATCCTCCACACCCTCTTATCTAAGATCATGTCCTCAGTAAGCTGAAACTCCGTCATGTCCTATCTAGTTACCTTTTACCAGTACTTCTTCAGTCTTTATCTACCTCTCGAAAAATCATCCATAGCCTGCCTCTCATACCTCCACACTGGAACATTCATACTTCTCTTCACATGCTCGAACCATTTCAATCTCGCTTCTCGCATCCTGTCCTCTATCGAAGTCACTCTCACCTTGTTCTAGATATCCTCATTTCTATTTAATCGTGAGAGTTCTAGACTGATCAACACTCTGTACAATACAAAAAAGTCGATCTAACCATCACTCTGCAGAACTTACCTTTAAATTTTGATGGCACCTTTTTGTCACGCAAGACTGCGTATGCCAACTTCCATTTTGGTGACTTGATTTTTGTTCCTTTTTTTTTTTCAAAAGAATTTCAAGTTCTCATCCTTGTTACTATAGATGAGTTCTAGTGATCATCATCAACAATTGCCCAGTACTAGTGCTGTATCATGGATATAATTATTGTTAAAACAACATTATGCATGTGGGGCTTGGACATTGGTTCCTAACTACTTCATTTTCTTTAGTTTTATTTTATTCTTATCCTTATTTTTTGTGATGAATTTAAGATCAGCAATAGTAAGGTGCAATTGATGTACCCCTGAATAACATGAATATTTTATTAGTAGATCATTCCACTTGTATCATTCTCATCAGTCATTATTAATTATGGTTTCTTCAAATGGGGTCTTTCATGCATAGAAATTTTGGAGATTTGTCAACATCATGCTTTATCAAACATATCGTATGGTCATACTATATTTTTGCAGCCAGCCAAAGTTACGTTAAAGAAATTGCTACTATCACTATAAAGATATACTCTATTAGTTGCGTACTATGTGAGCACTGAGGGTCCCTTGACTTGATATGTATAGCATATGATACAGTAGTGTTTAAAATTAGTCATTATCTAAAAGAAGAAAAACACAAGGGACACTTTTAATTTATGCAAAAATCGGTTTTGAAAATGGTGACACTTAGGCCTCATTTATTTTCATTAAGGTTTAGACGTCTGAATATGAATGGTTTTTCTGAATGATTAAAATGTTGTCTCTAGATCTGAACACTAATGATTAAGACTGTTTGTTTTACAACATCTCATAAATATACATAATGTATTTATATGTACATAATAAATATAAAATTCAAATAAAAATTAATTAAATATTAAAAGAATTAATAAAATAAATACATTTGATTTAAAAAAATTGAAGCAGTTAGCCTTGCTAGTGGTGGATGGTGATGGTAATAGTTGTTGTTAGTAGCTAGTAATGGTGGTGGTGATAATTGTGACGGTGGAGGTGGTTGATAATGTTGTGACTATCATAATGGTGACGATTGGTAGTGGTGTTGGTGGTTGTAATGATGAAGTTGGTCGATGTTAGTAGTTGGTTGATGGTGGTGGTTGAAGAATATATGGTGGTTAGTGATGCATTTGTGGTAGTTGGTGGCGGTGCTAGTTATAATCATGGAGGTAGTTGGTAGTAGAGATTGACCATAGTGATGGTAGTGGTTGATTGTAGTGATGGAGGTAGCAGTAGTGATCGAAGAATGTATGATGGTAGTTGGTGGCGGTGCTAGTTGTGATGACGGAGTTTGTTGGTTGTAAGAATTGACTATGGTGGTGATAGTTATGGTGGAGGTGGCAGCGGCAACAGAAACGTGGTGAGCCATGGATATAATCATAATGATGGATGAAGTAAGTGTGGTAGCAGTTGATAGTAGTAGTTTGTCACGATCCAAGACTACCCCCAGATGTGACATGGTACCTATAGTCCCAGGAGACACCAAACAAACTACATGGCATATCACTGACACTAAAATAACAGCATAATTGAAATAAAGAGATACGTGAAATCATAGTCTCAAATGATAATCTCAACATATAAGGAAAACTCTGAATACAAGACTTATATGTGGAAGTACTAATATCTGAATAAGCCTCTATCATAAGTGAGTCGCTAGAACAAATCCCAGCTCACTCAAAATATCTAAAATTGAAATAAATTCAGAATTACATAAAAGCAACATAGTGGCATGCCATCGAACAATGAGGACTCACCAAACAGTACAAAGCTGATAAGAATTATGTACTAACCGCAGCCAGATGGATGTACGTCAGAACTTGTATTATCAGACAATATAGGCACACGAATGTATGCGGTCAGTACTCAAAATGTATTGCATATGGGGAAAATATATAAACATGAAATGATAACATGATAAGTCTGAAAATATGAAATGCAACAACCAAGTAACATAACATAAAGTTGATCATATGATTTCATAAAACATAGTACAAGGTCATGCATTGTTCTTTAAATCATAATCATAACATATGAGGAAATCATAAGCTTTTGTGGGAGATACGGTTAACCGATATAAATCATATGAGCTATAACATGAAATCCAGCGTACTGCTCCCATATTGAAAATAGAGTTTCCTACTTGCCAATATAAGGACCAAATCATGGGCTTAGGTGGATTCACTAGCTAATGTCCAATCAGGATATAACTATGGGGGCACGCAGCTTTGGAACTTGGGTAATCGTAACTAGTCCAACTCGGTGCTAAGTAAACTCTCAATGAAAAACATGCATAATCATATTCATATTCACGTTCGTCAAAATGGTAAGAATTTAGTAATACTGAATCATTCATGTATAATTGAAAGCATTTAAATCATGATACTTTTTCATAATAAGAAGTACTTCAATTGGAAGTATCTAAATCATGACATTCATTCATAATAGAGGTACTTCAATCGGAAGCCCATCTTCTCATATAAAATTAATGATACTTTATTCGAAAGTATGCTTAATTCATATATCCTTTATATCATAGTGCATGCATATCAACATAGCTTGATTCATAATCATAAAATTCTTACATAATATGGGTTCATGAAATTATCATTAAAAATATTACATTTTGAACAAATCATGCATAATAAGATCAATCACAATGAATAAACTTGAAATCAATTGAATCCATAAGAAAATCATGAAAACCCTAGAATCGGGCAAGATTCATAACGAGAATTTGAGGTTTCTTTGGGATTCAATTGGTGAAGAAGAACACATTGATGAAGTTCCTACACACCTTGATTAAAGCTCTAATTGAAATCCAAATGGGAACTTGAATCCT